CATCTCAATAACAATCATCCCACAATCCATCTGAAGCTAGATTTAGAGCCATAAAATTATCCATTAGATTATGGATCGAACAATTATATGGATGTCACAGTTTATTATCTTGAGTCATATAATGATTTTAAGATTACCAGGGCAAACTCAAAGTTACGGCAAACGTTTTCTGTGCACGTAAAGAATGTTTGAATTTGATAATAGCCAAAGCTTCTATAAACCTAACGATTTATCACTAATAATTTCTATACAATGTTTTAAAAGCTTTGTTGATTACAATCCTATGCCCCATTTTAATTATATGCTTTGTTGTTAGTGAACATTTTTTTCTACGTCCAATATTTATTAGAGCATTTGATACTAATTGGTTTTGAAGCCATCTCGGCACACATTCCATTACCTCTGATTCCACTGTTCAATTTTTCCTCCTTATGCATTTGTGTCCATATCATTATTCAAATTGGTAAATGCATTGAGTGTGACGTATTTCTCCAGGCACTGTTTTAGTCTATTTGAAATCATGGGCATTGTACTTCCAAATAGTGTATTATTTTTTTTTCAATGGGTACTTTTAGTCTGTTTTAAAATCATACTGGTTGATTCACCACTATACGTTAGAGTGATATAAACAGTTTTCTCCGGAACAGAATTAGACGTTTCGGTGTGGACTAAATTTTGCATCTATTTACGAACGCTAGTGGATAACTGTTTAATATCATTATGTTAGACAGCAGTTTCGCATCTTCTTCAAACGTATCTATAGTGCATATTCTTTGAGTCTTGTTTAAAAGGCACTTTAACCAGCCTCGTGTGTGTTGCAGTGGATGGAAACTGAAAATTTCGATATTGCTCAATTCGGGTTGGCCTCCTACAAACTGATCAAAACTATTCAATTTTGTATTGGTTGCTTGAAACTTGTTTAAGACTGCAGATGATCAGTCTCTTATTGGCGTGTGTTCATCCTGTACGGATTGCCTCAATATTGCCCTCAGTCACAAGCGACCTGGATTCCACTGATAGACACCATCATCTCAGCTTATAATGATCAAAACTATATCTTAAAACTGGCAATCGGTTATTACTTTCTTCATAGGTCAGTATGATATCATTCTGCACGCTATTGAGTTTACGTAATAACGAAACAGCAACGAAGGCTTTATCATATTTGACTAATATATCATCAATTTTTTTCCTATACGAAGTTACCTTGTGGTTGAGTTCACTGATCATATTTTCAACATATCACATAAATACATCAGCTAAGATAGGTCCTAAAGGTATACCCATAGTAACACCATTAAGTTGTAGAAAACCTTCACCTTCAAACGTGAATTGAACTTTTGCATTAGACAACAAAAGTAGTTCTATTAACAGTGTTGACTCCATGGGAAGAAGAGGAAAATTGTTCGATATATGCTCACGAAGGAAATCAACAGTTTTGGTTAAAGGTACATTCGCAAAAAGAGAGTTTGCATCAAAAAATTGCATAGTCTTTTCTTTAATATTAATGTTATCAAGAAAATCGATCAGTTAAAATATATCTTTTAACTAAAACTTACACAGTTTGTTACAGATCGGATTTAACAATTTAACTAACTATTTGGCCAGCCTATGTGTAGGTAAACCGCACATTGATAATATTAGTCGTAATGGATTGCTAGGCTTAGGAATTTTAAGTATTTTATATAAATTCGGGGTTCAGAACCGGTAAAATTTAGCATATTAAACTCCTCTTTGTTTATACTTTTCATAGTATAGAGCTTCAGTAGACTGGGATTTACCCCAGATTCGAATTTTCTAACAATATTATTAGATGAACGTCCACCAAAAAATTTCGTCAGTAAGAATAGATATATTACCTTAGAGTCACATCTGTTCATAACAACCAACCCATGACCATTGTCATATGTGAAAATCACATTATCGGGTCTACTTTGGAACTTTTAAAGGCATTTAAATTCTTAGACACCAAGATACTCATATATCTTATTTAAGAACTGTGAAATTGACGAGCATTATCCACCAATTTTGTCTTCAAACAATTCTACGTGCCCATCGTGATTGTAACAAAAGTATTCAATTGACCATAGAGATTTTTGATCGATAAATCGGAAATTTGGGCATGGGTAACAGACTAATTAAATCCGAGAGATAAGGCTTCTTTCTCGAATATATAGTGTTCAACACAGGATAAATTTGTTACTTACGTATACGGGTTAAATTTAAATAAATTCTCATTATTATTATCAATGAGGGATTTATTCAGTAATCACTTAACCACAAAGTTCATAAATCGAATATGAAGTATTTGAGAAATATTCAGCAATACACATGATGCATAAATATGAAGTTTAATTAGTTTATTTATCATTTCATTACAGTTTTTGTACGTGAGATTTTGTTAGACGAGGAAGATAAGAAATATTTAATGCAGTTTATCGGATCTCAAGTATTTATAAAATTGTCTGGAAAATCTGTATCAAGTGATGTAAGATTTCTTTAAGTCCAGATTTGCCTTTATCGTTTTACTTTAGATTAGCAAATACGCCTGACTCTTTTAATGAAAGACGGTGGGAATCTTCTTTTTAAAAGCTTAAAATAATTAGCCCATATAATAAATCTTGACAGAACAAGGAGAAACGGAGTTTGTCTGTCAAATGTTAAGTATTCATGATATAACTTTCTAAAGATCTGGTCCCACACGTACTCGTCAATATATTTTATACAATTGATATATCAAATCGATAATTTGGAGTGTATAGTTGTTCATCTTTGACTAAAACTGAATAGTCTTGTCAAATAACTTGTTCCTGATATAGTATTACGTTTGATCAAACACAACCAGTACATTATGTAGATCCCTTCTAAGTTACCAATCCTAAACACAGTATGAAAGTAGTATTTCTTGAAATATTTTGCGTCATTTATCACACAAATTTTTCACCAGATTTCTGTCTTTATTTTCCTTCCGCAAAATTCTTAAATAAATATTGGTTTTCTCATATCTTCGTATATGTGTGATTTTAGGATATTCAAAATTACGAAATCCTGAATCAGAATATCATATATTAACGAATAATATTATTTTTAATTAGATCTTCATCAGGATTTATTCTTAGACACAGTAATATCATATGCATATATGAAATGGGCAAAGCAATAAAAGCAGTTTATGAGTCAGCGATAACAATGGACTTATTTCTATCTACCACATTACCGCTATCGATCAAGTGTGATAGGACAGAGTCGCATATGCTTTTGACGGTACCCTTTCCTAACCACGAAAGAAGACGTTCACTAACTCGTTGATTCAGTTGTCTGGTAGTGCTCTCAATTTAGCTTTCTTCACAGGAGCAGCTGAATTCGAAGATAGACGTGGATTTAGCAGAACCAGGTAACTTATCCTTTACTTTAGGAATCACTATAGGCCGTTCAGAAATGTGATCAAACAACGTTATCTTACTGAATGCTTTTCGTGACAATATATTTCAGATATCTTTTTCCTAGAAGTACTGAAGGCCGTTTCGTCCTAGGATTGTTCAATAATGACTCGAACCCAGGTATAACATTGATTTACTCATGGTGTCAATCGAAACACAACAATCCCCACAACCCTATACTGATATTTATTTTTCCGTCGGAAAGTCTGAAAAAATCGCTTTTTTTTCTTAGACTTGATCTCAGACAAATTGATAAAACCCAAATATTCATGACTAAAATATACATTTCAATAATTAAGGCAACTAAAAATACTGAAACTTTTAGTTTGTAGTGGCATTGGACCATAACCACACAATCTTCAAAGCTGAACACGAGACTACTTGGAAAGTAGATATTCAATATTTAGCGTGGAGAAATACCGAAGAATGGAGAAGGCGGGGATGATGAATTGAATAAATTGGAGTTGTTCAGATAACATGGCTCGGCCATGTAGGTGTGGTCCCTACTGAATGTTACCTTATATCTTTTATTCATATTAAATATATTGTTCTATCTCTAGCTTAAGCTTGTTCTCCATCATCTTGGTAATTGTTACGATACAGTGAGTTGGTGTAGACGATGATATGACTTCCACATTATATCTTATAGATTAGGCAGTTATATCATAACGAATCTACAATTTTAGGATTAGGTCTATTATTAGAGCAGTACTAATATCATAGTAGACCATAATTCTACAAGTTCACAGTTGTATATTTATTGCCTGGATAAACCTAACGTGCTCAAAATATTTAGGTGACGGATATCTAGTCAATCTTTTTGTAACAAATTACGTAATACTGGAATGATGTTAAAAGTAGCTATTGAATGAATAAGAGACAAAGGTTGGCTTAAAAAATGATTTCGGGGCAAATTGTTAACAATAAAAAATTAATAACAGGAGTGTTTGGCAGCGTCACAAGGCAAGCCCTCACTTGTGATCCTCAAGGCCAAATGAGCAGAGGAAGACCAAGAAACACATTACGCCAAGAAATGGAGACAGATATGAAAAGAATGAACAACAATTCAGTAGAACTAGAAAGGAAGGGTCAGGACAGAGTGGGTCAGAGAACGCTGGTCGGCGGCCTATGCCCCCTGGGAGTAACTGGTGTAAATGAATAAGTAAGTAAATTGGTAGGTTTGTATCTAGCTGTTGGAGTTTGAATGATAGTATCCAAAAAATAAAAGAAAAAGAGATAAAGTGACTCGACAACTCAGTAAGCACAAAACATAATCCCAAGTGTATGACTATTCATTGATCTACTAGCCTCACTAGCTAAGTAGATTAACTTTTGTGACTCACTAACGTTTTAGTTATTACTTGACACCAGTTATCTTTGAACGAATTTCAAATGATCACTCCGTTTCTCTCTGCTCAGATGGTATACGAGAACGAAATAGGGTAAATTGAAATCAAAACATATTGTTACGCAAAATCATTTATTTACTGCATAGAACAAGAGTCTATAAAAGTGAAAACTATTCCAGTTGATAGTAATATATGAAAATAGCTGTAAATTTCAAAGAAGGAACTCTGAAATAACAAATGGTGTAATCATGAAGATAATTGGACACCCTAAAAGTCAACAAATAACAAAAGATTCATAAACATTCCAATCAAATAATTAATTATATTTTATAACTTCAACTTTATTCTATTGTTTCATAATCTTAATTAATCATTCAGTTCAATTATGTAGTACCAAACATTCAGTGTCTTCTTTCAAAAGAATATTAATTCAATCCGTACAAGTTTTTGTCACTCTACACAACTCTTCTGCAACATAAATGTTTTACTTATGAAAAGTTCTGGTTGATTCCAAGTCCTATTATTATGAAAAAGAGGTTTATTCCGTTAATATAATCCAAGATTATTTATAAATTGATATGGTTTTCGTATTTCGATATGATTTATTTCTGATCGTTTTTTTGACACTTGTAGACAAATTAGTCGATTATTAGCAGCATAATGACATGAAATTAATGATGTAAAATGTATGGATTAAAACATACCGATGGTCATAGTTGATGATGACGCTGTTAAACAAAAATATTAATAAAATATAAAATTAACAACACATGATAATGGACGAATAAAACAAATAAAATGTTGTACAACCAGCAATGAACACTTGACAAAATGTCAAATATCGCTATACTGTTATGATGTTTAAAAGCCTACATCGTTAACTGCCCTAATCTATAGGATCACTGAAAAGTGCAGAGAAATAAATGGAATTATTAATTTAGTTTTGAAATGTTTATAGTAGAGTGTAAATAACACCTTGTATACAGTCAAACCATATATAACGGCCAAGTATTCAGCCGCTGAGTTGGAACTCGGTCGACTAAATTTTGTAGCTGGAGTTGATTATCTCCTTATAGATAACAACAACGTCGATGAATTCACAGTCCACTGAATTTCACTGATTGGTCACTGGATTACAGATAGCAATGGATGAATTCAGTAGGAATTAGAACTTCCCTTCCATGATAGGTTTCATCACAGACATAAGGAAAAGTTTTACAGCTGGACAGTACACACCTTTCTTGAGCATTGAACCCATTCATTATAAGAAAAACTTAGATGTATTGTAAATAGAGCTAGGAACAAATTCTCAGACGATACCTTAACCAAGGAAATAGGGTTTACTCATAATATATAGATTAAGATGGATTATCCACAAGGTTTTCTGAAAAAAACACTTTCATTTATTAAACAGGAAGGAAGCGATATCAACACCTAGTAAGAAACCTCTCATCCAGAAATTGTAATTCAACGAAAATATAGCTGTTGATTTGTTAAGGGATAAACTGACTAGAGCAGTGAAGGGAAAGTTTAATACAGCTAACCTCTGTCTAACATTCTCGACTGGATCTATGGCAACTCCCCAACTAAGGGACAAGCTACCTGATTCTGTTACATCTACGTCTATCTACGAATTCAGCTGATCCTGTGAAGAAAGCTATATTGAGAACACTATCAAACAACTGATGAATAGTAAACTAAGCTAATAAATCCTATCTAAATCAATCTTAAATACAGTTTTTTTGTCTGAAAGATCTCTTCGAATCGATATTGTATGTATGAAAAACGGAGGAAATATCGTAACATTAAGGGGTTACAAACATTACAAATAACTATCCAAATTCTTACATTTGGCCTTCTTATCTTTCTGATGTGATGCTGTTCAAAGCAAAAAATAAAGATCATCAAACACAACCATTTTATTCAGCTTTGGAAATTTGTGGCAATTGTAGTATTTTCAAAGTTGTAATCACGAGTCAATGTAAGCTAAACCACTATTGAAACACGGAAGCGGACACTGATTGGACTCGACTGGCCTCGGTTATCCAGTTATCCACCTCACACAACGGACGAAGGGTTAAGGAATACCACGGATCGATCGAAGTTAGACAACAATAAAGTTTGGGCATTCGAGAACGAGACTGAAGGTCCTGGGTTCGTGTCCCGCGTGCACTGCTGAGGAGTCCCACACTAGAATGAAATGGACGTCCAGTGCTTCCCAGTTTCAATGGTGGTCAAGCTTAGATTGATTCGTGAATTCAACTTTGAAAAACAACTATTTTTATTATAAATTTCACTTATTTGACAGCAATTTGATAAGTTTTAATCAAAACTTATAGATCTCTATGATACTAGATAGAACTGAATTGGTTGGGATAATTTCTGGTAGTGTTTTACCTTTTTATTTGGCCAACTTAATGCGTTTGGCCATTAGAATTAATAATACTGTTTCACATAGATTCGCAAATAGACTGACTTAATATTTATTTTACACTGATATTCATATGATTGTGTTCACTTTTGGTAATAAAGGGATTATATGTAATGAATAATATACTATTTCTTCTGATAATTTAACATACGGAGAGTTCAAATCAACGATCTTCGTAATTAATATGAATTCGAATTCATACAATTCATAAAGATATTTTTCAGCTGCATTTATCCCCACGTGACAACGTGTTTACAAAAACTCATACCCTTAGGAAAACTTAGTTAATTGTTTTAATTATTGACGCTTCCCAATGTTTTCAGTATGCATTAGAACTATTGGTCAATTAAGTGGAATTTCAAACCGAATTTCTAATAACATAATATAACATAATGTTGCATAATCCTTTAACGTTGTTAATTGCATAATAGCATAATTCGAACTCACATCTTTTATGCCTTTTCGGATCATCTATTAATTATTTTAATTAAAGTATAACGTGAAAATTAATTAAGAAAAGATTTATAGGTATTCTGACCATATTGTTTACAATAATGCGAATGAGATAGTGGAGAAGATTTGTAGCTCAGGTGGATGATTTTTATGGAATTTTGTTCTCTGAGCTGGATGGTTTGGTGGTGGACCTTTCATCGTTATTCTGAACGACATCATCAGCACAAACTTCCGGTAGAGGTGATGTGTTCGAATTTCTTCACACGTGGTTCACAGCTTGTCCTGTACACCTTGATGTTGATTGGTTCTTATTGACCTTAAACCTGTCGTTGTTCACTTCTTTGTTTTAGTTTTATCTCCGATTGGTTTGATTTTTGTTCCTATGAGATCTTGGGTTGTTGCTGTTGTACTTGTGAATTTGATCTGTGTGGGTCGGCTTCCTATACACTTGAGTTTCCGTTTAACTGTGTCGGTTCTGGTGTACGAGACGAGCTGTGAACCACATGTGGAGAAATTTGAACAATTCACTTCTAGTTGAAGTTTGTACTGATGATGTCGTTTAGAAGAACGATGAAAGCTTCACGACCAAACCATCCAGCTCAGAGAACAAAACTCCATCAAAAATAATGCGAATGTAAAAATTTATCAACACTTTCTAAGTGTATACTTACGATGAATATAAGAAATACCTCTTGAAAATTAGGATAGCTTATGAAATCACTATGTTTTCGGTATACTAAATCAAGTTCACCTATACAGATTTCAAGTCGTCATCTGAAGAAATTTATGTACAAATACTCAAAGATTCCGTTATATTGTTGGCGCAATGTTACGATATATGTGCTTAGAATATATGATAAGGACTAGACTGTAAATTCTACAAATAAAACTTTAGGAATATAATTTACATTCGAGGTTGAAAATTATCTACTGAGAAACAAATTACATTTTCTACAATTATTTCTATCACTCAGATAAAATAAAAATGTTGTGCTAATGGTAGTGTGATGTGTGCTATTTATGTAGACATAAGTAATATATGATATTAGTCCTCAACAGAATGTCTGACAGCAGAGAGACAAGATCGAACAGTAAATAATGAAAACAGAATGCAATTTGTATGAAAATGCAAGAACAGTGAAGTCTGAGTCATTTGAGATAATTGATGGACATTTTGCAAATTGAGCATTTACTATATGGTTGTTAGGTTTTAGTAACTAGTTCTGTAATTCGATTGTTGCCCATTGGTGTTCCGTTAACTACAGTAGTTCTTCTATTTTGTTACACAGCAAATAATTCAGTCATGAAAAAATATTCATCAAATACAATACACTACATATATCTTGAAAGACAAATTACACTACGATGTGAACTTTACATCTTTTTTAAAAATCCAATCTCTAGAGTATAATCTATTAGCTACAACAAGTGATTATAAATATGTCTTTACTGGTCGTTTAATTCTATGTTTATGGCAAATACTGTTGAAGTGAATCTTTGTCCTACGAAAACGATCCACATCTTAAATGTAAGTAATAAATAATTGTCAACATATACATAACTGGTAATTCTCAGGTTCTAGCTAGAAATTAAAATACAAGTTTTTTGGGGGGGAGGGGGTATTCTCACTAGTTGGAAATATTGGTTACCATAGATTGATCTATATTGCATATTCCTTCAGCCCGGAACATATTAGATAACTATTGGTTTACAAAATTATAATTCCGGTCAGAAAATCATAAAACATTTTAAATGAAATGATTTAATTTCTTACATTTTTGTTTCTCTTCTTTGGATGGTTTGGCTGTTTAAAAGGTTAATATTAAGAAAAATGACATTGAATTTATAACACTAATTATAAAACATAATTTTGACTCTCACTAGTGAGAACGAGGAAATTTAACAGAAATACAACTTAGAATAATTATAATTATGAAATGATTTTGAACTTTTGTTCAAAGATCTGATTAGATCATGTGAATTCATTTTATTGTTCTATTTTTCACATTCATTTACGTCGTTTCATCAATTTCACATAATTTGATTTTTTATCTATAATAGTAAATTTGTATTAGGTTTTGTGACTTAAGTAATGACTTATTTTTAATTAATAAACTGATAAATTAACATCCCAAATGCTTTAGTTTAAATGTACAGAGTTCAGTAAATGAACAATATTTTCTCATTCAAATTCAAATCTTCATACATCCTGATTTAAGTTGAAATAATAAACAATATTCAATTGAGGTACATTTGGCTATTGCAGAAACCCTGTTTACATGTATTATAATCTTTATTAATCTTATAAATTACTTTCTTCTATCATAATAGTTTTTCAATGAATTAATAGAATCTTTTTGTTTATGATGATGAATTGAAGTATCTTATGAACTGCTGGTAACATTTAACTGTTATATAAATTACTAAAAATTATTTATTTAATTTAAATTGTATTTAAATATCTATAAACTGTAGCACAATTATTCAAATTCTCACCTTCTGCTTTCATTGTTCTGTTCACTGGTATCTTACTAGGAGATATTTTGATTGGAGTAGCTAAAAAAAAGAAAAGTAGTAATGAACATTATAAGATAAATACAGTATTAAAACAACATAATTTTTTATTATTATATGATAGAATCACAATACAATTAATTTTTAAATTATGACTTTATAGTTCACTTCAAATGTCTATTTGGAATCTTATTAAATGATATTAACAAGTGACTTTACTTACTTGTGCCTGTTACTCCTTGTGGAGGAGCATAAGCTGCCCATTATCACTCTCCATTCAACTCTGTCTTGGTCAATGTTAATAAGTAGGGTATCATAATGAACTTTTATGGATTGTTTATAACTCAGTTCAATTATTTTAGTATCAGAAGGGATTTTGTGAAGATTTTAGTAAATTCAATAGTTGAGATCATGAGCCAATTTCAGCTAGACCACCATGGAAAACCTGGAAGCACTGGCTTTAAGATGTATATCCTGGAGTTCTAGTGAGAAGCAATGACCAGTGGAGTTCAACCGCGTCTGTTGTGAAATTGTAATTCGCTGATGATAATGGTGGATGTGTCACTCAATTTCGTGGATTATTTGAAGTTAGACATTAACACCGTTGGATGCCGGCCAATCCAGTGCTGCAGAGATGAAGCATCGCGTGCGAGACTGATAGGTTTTGGGTTCGAGGAGTCCCACAACATCCGTCCAGTGCTTCCATGTTTTCCATGGTGGTCTAGCTGAAATTGGCTCATGATCTCAACTATTGAAATCACTTATTTTACTTTAATTATAATTCTAAAACAAACTGATTTTATTAAATGTGATTTCTTTCCTCTGTTTATATATAAGTCAGGATGTCTGCGTTTTAATATTAAGATGATAATTTACCATGAAATTTACAGTTGGGAAAATGAATGTAATTTATAACTTAAATTATTTTACATATTACTATATTCAAAACAATTTCGTTGATGTATAGAAATTAGTAATGTACTTTTCTTGAAATATCAGAAATTTCTTTCCAGCTGAAGAGGAAATTAGGAAAGAACGTTGAAAGTGGATAAGATATACATTAAAGAAATCATCAAATTGCGTGACGAAGCAAGAGCTAACTTGGAATCCTGAAGGGGAACGGAAAAGAGGAAGACCAAATAACACACTGCGTCGAAAATTGGAAGCAGACATAAAAAGGATGAATAGCAACTGGGAAGAACTAGAAAAGATTGCTCAGGACAGAATTTGGATAGCGAATACTGGTGGGCGGCCTATGCTCCTCCATGAGCGGTAACAGACGTAAGTTAGTAAGTAATAAAGTGTTCTGCTAGATTCGTCTAAAATCTACATGAAAAGGGAACATACTTTGATAATCTTATATTACATTTTCTAGTTATTAGATGCTTTGTTAAATTTCTCTATATACTTGCAAATTATTGATATATATTAATTTGGGGATAAGTGTTCCAAGCGTAATCGAACAAACACTTGTAATTAATTCTATCTATCAAACCGAAAATTTAGTTGTCTCTTAGGTTATTTATTGTATAAATTTAGTTTATATACCAGTGATAATAATAAGGACAAAACAAATTAATATTCGAACATTATGTACTCTAAAATCAATGAAATATCCTGATGAAACTATTAACTCACTAGGTTTTCTTCTCACCGGTACTCCATCTATGAAAAAGAGGCACAAAGATTTAAACTAAGCGAATGTATCATTCTATTATTAACACCTTTTATCTAATTATCCTACTTAATTGGTAGCATCATAGTTTCTAAACACTTGAATCAAACAGATTCGATAGGTTAAGAATGTTTGTTAAATATTTCAAACTGTTCTTATAACATATTATTCCCCATGAAGTCTTACAGACTAATCCATCATATAACCTTAGCTAAAATCATATGGAACATATGGTTTTCATCATTTAGAATAAATTAACATTTTCAAATATTGCCATACTTCATTTACACACATCTAATATAAAATAAAATAAGATGCATTTATTTGAAATGTAATAAATGCCATGTATAATTCAATCTACAATAGTAATGATACATGCTGCTAGATATTTTATTTGTTTATAAAACAATTACAACTTATAAATTCACTTGGTATTGTTTACTTGAATCTTCCCATTGATGTTTACGACTGCAATTGATCAGTCTCTTATTGGCACATGTACATTCTATACGGATTGACTCGATATCACCTTAAGTCATGAGCATTATAGCAAAGATGGATGGTGGTTAGAAGGGGAATCTAGGACGTACGTTTTGTAATATTTGGGACTCGTCAGCTGGATGTGCCTTCATCTCAGAATTGATGTTCAATGTGGGACTTATGAGATTATCATTAAATTAAACAGTCAAATCAATTTTTTGAATATCATTCAACATGTTTAAGCTAAACGTTATGCTTACCTTCATCGACAAATTTTTGAGGCTCTGAAATATAATTAGAGTAAAAGAAATAAAGCGATTTTGTTCAAGTTCCATGTATAGCAAATAAGTGAATAATTTAGTTCCGAAGCTTTTGAAAGCATGAATAGTAGTATTCTGGTATGTGCTATCTATATACACATAGGTTATATATAACGATAGTCAGGAATAGAGTGTATTTCAGTAGAAGATAGAGAAGGAAAGAACGGGAACGGAATGCAATCGGTATGAAAATGCAAGAACAATGAAATCTGAGACAATGGACTGATATTTGCGAAGGAGCAGTCAAGTTTAAGACAATTGACTGATATTTTGCAAATTAAAAATTTACAGTATGGTTCACAGATTTTAGTGAGATTTTCTGTAACTTTGTGCTCAAATACATTCGATTTCCCTCACTCGTGTTCTTGTTCATTACAGTACTTTTTTTTGCTGTTCATCTCAACGTATATTATTTAATGAACTAATGCGCTCTGAGGAAAATGTTTTCTACCAGTATAGGGGCTGTGGAGGTCATTAAGTTTTTAACTGATATCATGAACCGATTGATGTTAGACACTAACACCATTAGATGCCGGCTCACTGGTCCAGAAGGTTAGGCGTTCGCGCGCGGGATCGCGGGCATAGACTGCTGAGGGGTCCGACAATAGGACGGAACGGCCGTCCAGTGCTCTCAGGTTTCCAACGATGGTCTAACATCAATCGGTTAATAATCCCAATAAAAAATGTTTTCAGTTCAACAGATTGAATTAAAAAGATAAAAATTAAACAAAGTACTACACTTATTCTTTTTTCCCTTTCGTCTTATTTGATAGATTCAATATTAGATAAATTGAAATCTCAAGTTTTTAGTGACAAAGATAAGTCTTCAATAATAATATTTTAGTTACAATTGAACAGTTCTATTCATTAAAATAAGTTTTGTAATAATATAAAATCTTCTAACATACCCGGTATACCATCTACCATATCGAAATACGCATATAGAATTACCACAATAAATATACTACACTGTAAAACATGATGATTTTCATTAAGCTATATGTTTATAATATTTGAACTTACATAAAACGTATTCATTGTGCTCTTTGATATTTCTTATCGGAACTGCCATTTATTTATTTAAAATACCATCGATTTAAAGTAAAACAAATGTCTTTATTTTGGATTATGACATTGTATTAATGAATTCTCCTATAGGTTTTCCATAAAATATGTGTCAATTTACCAATATCATATAATTGTCACACCCTTGATGATCATAAATGAATAGTGTTAAAAGCCGATAAATGTGTCAATACTTAATTGATCAAATGAATAATCACAGTTCATTTTTATCAACAATCATAATTATTCTCATAACTTTTGTTCTATTTTCATGTAAATACTATTGTAATTCACATTTATAATTGGTAGTTTTATATCAAGGATTAATAACTTCCATGCATTTGATGAAATGAAAGCATATTCATTACTAGGATCGATGTATACATTATTCTCATATCTTAAATGGATCAATTCTTCATTGTTATGATTCGCATCATCATCTTGCTAAAGTCACTTATACTCAACCTACACAGTCTATGTTTGAGTAGTAGATAATTTTCTTGATATATAAAAATGAATTTAGTGTATTCAATTGTTGAATAATTTATTTTTTAAAATTCGTATAACTGCTTATCAGTCCTGATAATATTTTATGGTCCTGTAAAGTGATGTTAATCCTTATTTGGTAGCGGAAAATTATTGTTTAGAGTGAATGTCTACCATCTATGAACTGATTCAGCAACAAATACGACATTCACAAAATAACACCAAATCTCATAAAAGTCTGGGCATTAGTCATTAGAAAACACAAACAAATTCTCACTGTTGAAAAAAGTCTGAAGATATGTTGTAACAGTATACGACCCTACATTTTCGGTTTGCTGAGACTATGATTTATGGATGAACGAATGAAATTACGGACAGCAAATCTTGGATATGGGCGCTAAATTCATTTATCCATATTGCATGGGCAAGGAAAATAATGATTGGTTGTTTACCTAGTCAGACTAGTAGATGATACTCTGACAAGTATAGGATAAGTTATATATTTTCCTATCTTTATTATAATTGTGATCATTGTCGGTTGTTAGCGTGGAAAAGTACGTTCTGTCACGCTAGCTACGTGTTCTTGATCTGATTTGTGTTGACGTTCTATAGAATAGACACTGAGATGATATCTAGTGTAGATAGTCGTCTAGGGTAAAGTAATGTCCTATTTGTGTAACAATGAAGCTGAGAGTTATTTTAAAACCTCTACATTAATTTTTAACCTTGAATTCTAACATTAAATCCAATTCCTGATTCCTCATATTAACACATTACTCTCTTTTAGCATTGGGAAGTAGCTGAATGGTATCAAGGTTACTTTAGAGCCGCTAAACAGTCGTCCGTAATTTATAGTCAACCATTAGGAAACAGGTCAATATCAACGATTATTATAATCTAAAGCGCTGAAATTACATTAAGAAGAAAGATAATATCACGACTGAAACTCATTAGCAATTAAAACAGATATTTCATTTTGTTCCTGTTATGTTACCGCATTCTCATAACTCTGAAGCAGATTGTACTTCTGGACTTCCTGTGGTTTCTTCAGTAGTTCATAAAAATGTCATGTGCACGCGAATTCGACCAAGCATATCGATCTCTATTCAATGACATTACTGTCCTCAACTTTACCACAGATTCTTACAGATTTCCTGTTAAAATGTAGGGTACTATTCTAAAATTATTCAAATATGTTACATTGATCTGTTAGCATGAATCATTCTTAAGAATGTATGTTAGCTTTTTATGATATCCTTCGTTCATCAACTTCCTGTACAAATAAATAGAAACTGAAATGATTGTTCACGGTTCTGCGAAGCACCATGATACCACTAATCGATAAGTCTCTATGCATTTATTGCGAAAGATTGTTTTAGATAAGCATCTTCTCTAAAGGTAAAATCAATTGTTTTTTGCTATATTTTGGAGAACTGCATTATATAGGACATTCTACCTCACTTTTTATTTGAATTTAAAGTAATAACAGAACAGTGTTTTCATTAGCAAGTGTAAATAATGTGCTTTGTCAAATTATTGATGCATGACTTTTAGGTATGAGTTTTACTGTAGTTTATTCCATATATATATTGAGTAGTAAGCTTATATTCAGTTCAATTTTCAGTACCCACCTAAATTCTATAGACTACCATAAATTCTTCCATGAAATATTCACTGACTGTATTGTGTGTGGAATTTCCATCAATCTTAATGTGGTTCATTGGTTTCAATTTCTAAAAAGCTAACATTTCAAAATCATTCCGTGTTATTATTTCCGATGAAAACCAAATTAGGTTTCTTTCGAAAGTCTCAAACTTCCCTTAATGACCTGCAAATCATTTATATATCAATGTATTTTAAATAGATACTTTTAATCAAAGTCCACTCCAAAACTAAAATTGAACGAGTCGCGATTTTGATTTATACTTAAGTTCAACAAACCCATGAACATTATTTACGTATTCATTGACAGAATGTGATTAACAGAACTCTTATATCTATAAAAAATAACCTCGAACGTTAAAGAATCACTTAGAAAATCGGTCAAATGTCAAGTTGATGGATTACTACTGAGAAGTCCACAACACAAAATTGTTTCCTACTCTTATAGTATCAGTTGATTCTTTCGTATTGATAAATTTCTTACGACAATAACCATATTGCTAATGTGACTCAAATTACTCATTACTCAAAACACATTAAACAGCATAATACTGAATTATAGTTTGTAACCTTGTGTAACGGAGAGCATATTTTCAAAGTATATTCTTATCAGTTCACATAGATTACTTTCAAAATCAACAAAAGACGATACTTCTTTATAGTCCTATCCATAGATACTTGGAGGTTTGAAATACATTAGGTTTTTTCATGTAACCAAAGTTTTAAAGAAATGTTCATGATATATAACATGTCGATCACTTTGGAAAGTTAACTGTTGTCTGATGGTTCCCTTGTTGAGGTCTGCAGTGTATCTTTACAGCCAGTCTTACCATCAGCTGTCATTCTGAAAAATAATTTGCTAACTATTCATTAACTCGTAATTCAAATATAACTTACTTCATCCTTGATTGAAAAAAGAGGATATGTAATCCTGTGATAAAATTTATTCAATTCACCATTTCTTGTTACATTACTGGATTGGCTTATGTTATTTTTTTCACTAAGGAATAACCCTCATTTAGCGCCTGTTTTCCATATTTTAGTTGAAATTCCCGAACACTAACGTCAATGCTTTTCATAGCCTCATGTCATTGCACATTAATTTGATAGTCTGCCACGTCTCTCCTTAGTTTCACTAACCACATAATTGTTCAGCCAAATGACTTGGTAGTTTTGTACCAGCTTAGAGTATTTAAAGATAAATAATATTTTAATGATGCAAGGATAGGTCACTAATCACCTAGCTTTTGAAGTATAGTGTCAAAAAAACCACGATGAACTCTAACCAAATTATTCTTCGCATAGAAAACTTATCACCAGATGTTAAAGCGTTGGTCAAATGGCGTTAAGGTCAGGGATGACTGACATGGATTAGCTAATCAATGCTGTAACGTTGGGAAATGTGACAGTCTTGTCGCCCTCTGTATACACTACAGTTTTATTCGCTTCGTGTATAAATACAGTCTTTTTTGTTAAGATTTGTTTGCTATCTAAATATATTCAAGAAGCAAGATATGTTGGTAACCATCTTAAGATAGGCTTGATAAGACATTTTTTGAACAATGAATAGGTTTGACTTAAGATCATTCAAGTTAAGCAATCACATCATTCTGCGTAAGTCGAATGGATGCAAATGATTATTTAGATGACATAAGTTAGTACATTACATCGATTATCGTTTAACATCCACAAATATTTGTTGTAACTGACACTAAATGTTACCTTAGCTTAGGTTCGTATAAGTTATTTCAACAACTAATAAACCATAAGCTCAATAACAGACTGAAAAAACCTTGATCTTTAACAGATACTAAAAGAATAACAATAAGAATAACTCTCAAGTTTACCAAAAACAACAACCTAGTATTCAGGTACAATAACCAAACAAATCCATAATCGGACAAAAAAAACTAAACTTAAAGCCATAATCTGTTGTGTTTGCATTTATCAAGTTTTACTATTAACATCAAAAACCACTTTCAAACATATTAGCCGCATTTTATTAAACACTGACCTATGATGTATTTAAAACTCTGTTTACTGAGAAAAGATTCCGAAATTTATTCATTTTAATTAGGGATGAAGGTGATCGAAAATTTGAGAATAGATCTAAGTACTACAAAAGTGTATTAATAATTAACACTCAATTCTTCGGTTTTTACTATTAGTCAACAATGATAACTCTGTATCCTTTATCTGTAATAAACTGATCTTTAAAAAAAAATCTGTGAATAACTGGCTCTTTAACTAGTTCCATTAAAATGTCATGTTTTCCGTCCATATGAACAAAACCATGTAAAGTAGTACTGATTTCGAATATTAATCACATGTAAATCATTCATAAAAGACAATACGTTTTAAAGAATCCATATTCTTAATTTGTGAACAGAAAATTTATGTATTTTTTTCTCAATATTCCAAGTAATTCACACAAGTTGATGTTATTTAACAAAGTTTATTTTTTTAGGATTTCACATCTGAAGTCTTCATTTAACCTAAAAGTAAAGAAGAAGAAGAAGAAATGAAATATTTAAACTTAACTAACTGTAACATTAGCGAACTTAGTGTAAGAAGTGAACTAACTTCCATACAATTTATGAGAGCAAAATATACAAAGTACTGCTGAAACTCTTACTGATCGAAAATATGATTATATAATTTATTATTATATAAATACACTAGTTATTAAATGAGAATTTCTTTGGAGTTTGACAGTTCATTTATGATACTGTTTAGGTGATTAATTAATAGTTAAAATTTTATCAGATAGTCTTTGATTTCAACTCTTTACATCTTGTCTAACACAGTTAAAAAGAAATTTGTTT